GAGCTGTAGAGTCACAGACAGTGTGGGCGTGTCATCAGTCAGGAGCTGTAGAGTCACACAGTGTGGGCGTGTCATCAGTCAGGAGCTGTAGAGTCGCAGACAGTGTGGGTGTGTCGTCAGTGAGGAGATGTTCAGAGGCAACAGTGTGGCAGAGCTATCATAGTGTGGTTGTAAAAAAACAAGGGGTGCATTGGAATCTGTTCTTCCTGGCCTGCTTCCACACCACACCATGGCGAAACTGCCAGCACAGGCACTGATCTAGCTTGTTTGTTTGCCTTACAGGCAGCTTGTGAACGCCTCGTCTCAGAAGTGCACAGCACAAAGCGGCGCACTAGAGGGCAGCAGTGCGGAAGTGTGTTCAGGGCTCAAACCCCAGGTGGGGGCACTGCTGCTGTACTCCTGAGGGAGCTACTTGACCTGGACTGGAAACCCAGCTGCCTGTGTGCAGCTCAGTCAATTTGGACGAAAGCATTAGACTGATTCTGAATGAGTACTGTGCCACTGCCCCGCGGGTCGCCGGAACGCTGGCGGACACAGAGCCCTGCCACGGTGCACGCTGTGGACAGGAGGTGGACAGCGAGCATGCTGTCAGCTGTCGGGCTGCGGCGACGCGGCCGATCTTACCAGGGAAGAGGGGGAGGTTTGGTCAGCAGACCCTGCAGAAGGTCCCACTCTATGCAAATGCGCCTCCCCTCGCTAACCGACGGCCCCGCCGCCATCCCCACGTGCTCTGATGAGACGGCTGACACTGCCGCCGCACTAATGCAAGCTCTGACTGGCAGGAGCAGGGACTGGCTTTGACCTCCTGCAGAAAAGAGCCAGAAATACAGAGAAGGAAAAGAAATCACCAGATGATCTGGTGAGACCAGATCTCACATCAGGAGAAGGCATCCAGACTTGGTACAATGCAATTCACCCCACCCTCATCACTCCAGGCTGTAGACCCAGCCAGCACCTAAAAAGCCCACTGGAGTTGGCAGCTCGTTCCTTCCCAGAAAGCCCCCAGAGGAATCATCTCCAGGCTCCTGTACTGCAGGGGGAGAATAAGACAGGGAGACGGCTTGTCTGAACCATCAGCGAGCTGCACAGCGCCTCTCACTGGCGCCTCTCTGCTGAGCACCCAGATGGCCCTGGCTCTGCCAATGCCCACCTACCCAGCAGGGCTGTGCCCTCTGCATGCTTCCACCTGGCACAAGCCTGTCACAGCTGGCCAGCGGTATGATCCAGGCTGGAACCTGCCGGTTCTCGGTGACAGAGCTCAGGGAGCACTCAGAGAGACGGGGTGTGCCACTGCAGACCCCCATGCATCTTCTGAGTGTCTATATAAGTGTGCAAGAGAGTAGTAACAGATCTGTGCAATATACAATATACTGCAATGCACAGCAAGGTACACAATACAACACCTAGACTAGGCCATAGCTCCGGGACAGCGCAGGCAAGAGCTCTGTAATAGTAGGGCGGTGTTTTAAGTACAGGGCTGGGACCTGTAACCTATGACCACAGATCACAAACTGGAAGGTCAGTTGATGGCGTGATGTGTGGTTTCTTCAAAAGCCACAAACGGATGCCTAATTGCTCAGTGAAGATCACTGACTCCTGAGGAGCACAACAGCGAGAAGTCAGCCTGCACACCTACAGCAGGAACTGCATGCCATGGCGAGTGTGAGATCATAAGCACTGGTCCACACAGCAGGCCGAGGAGGCTGTTGCCATTGTGGAGACAAACTGATCTGCCTGACTGCTGAAATGCCAGTCCACACGCACACACCCCTGGTGCCCACAGACCCAGTGCCAGCTGTGCTGCATCACCCCTTAGGGCTCGGCTGTGTGCTGGTGACATTTAAAGGGCTGGTGTCGCTCCCAGCTGTAAGCCTCTGTGCCTGAGGGCACAACTGCCCTATCTCTGTGCCCAGGTCAGCAGCTCTGGGGCCGCCCTGCACTGCACCCCAGCCGTGCCCCTAGATTGAGCCCCTTTCCTAACGCTGTCCACTGCTTTTCCAAACCCAAGGGCCTGCTCAGCCTGGGGTTTGTACCAAATACACACAGAATCGTGAAAAGTCAGCTTTTCGCACCGCGGAAGCAGAGACTTAGGGATTATCTCAGAGTGAACCCTGAACCCCGACATTGCTATTCAAAGGCTCTCTCCCATCTGACATCATTCCTTTTGTTCTTCCTCATCTGGATGCAGCGCCAAGCCAGCCGCCAGCCGGCTCTGCCTCTCGGGCTCAGCTGCTGAGTCCTGACCGGAGCTCCAGCTCCCTCACTGCCGCTTACACTGACATGCGCCACACCCCAGGGGGGAACCCTAACGAACCCCACCAGCTGCAGGAAGTGAGCCTGAGACACGGCGCGCTGGCGCTTGGCACTGGGGAGGCTGGTGAGGGCGAGTGATTAGAGCAGGATGGTCAACTGCCTGTATCACCGCAGCGCAGCAGAACAAGATCGTTCTGCCCCCAGGAGCGCTCACAGTCAGGGGCCACGATTATCAGCCGGACTGGGACTGCAGAGACAGTGCTCTGTTAAGAAACTATTTCTTTTTTTTTGGCATTCTTCTTACCTGTTAGTTTGAGGGCCATTAGAGTCCCGTTAGAGTTAGAGCATGACTTTTTCAGTTAAAGATATTTTTTTAAGTAGCCTTAACACCATTATTGAATATTTGACCTTCAGTGACTATTCCTTAAGCAATGTTCAAATATAATTATTATTTTGTTAATTTTGTGCAGTTTATAGTGACTGCTCCTATTTCTTCCATTATCATCAGAAAGGCACCGAATTGGAAATACCACCATAGCAATAACACTGCTGCCTGCAGAGAGTGACGCTTACTCGTACTCACTCTTCGTTTTATCTCTGGTTTGCATTTTTCTTTCAGCGGGGGCCGAGACAAACTTCCAAACTATCAAGCAAAATAAGCGGATGATTAGTAAGCGGGCAGTCTGAGGGCACTCAGCCAGGCATGGTGTCGGCACATTCGCTTGAGTTTGTAACCATACGTCTACCTGTGCACATCTATCCTAAAGAAGGTGAGACATCGTCATTATACACACACAGGTAGCTGCGTCCTTCAACCAAACCATTTCAAACCTGTTGGGACAGGAGGAAAGCAGGAAGAGACACGAGGTCAGAGGCCAGAGGAGACGAACAGCACAACTCCTCCCCCTGCTCTCCTGTGCTTCACGCCACTCAGTCAGATCTGCAGGAAAACCCCGCCTGCCCAACTCCTTCTTGGTATTTGCATAAGTGCAGCATCAGTTTGGCTCAATTACTGTTTGTTTTCAGAAGGGAATTATTAATTAAACCCTCCAGCTGTCAGTGATACTGGATGTAAAACTGCTTCATCCCCCCAGTGAAAATGCTATCAGAAACACAACATGTGAAGCCAGGTTGATTGGGGATGCTTATCAGACACAAACTTAACAGCTTCTCTCCAGCAAGTAAAAAACTTTTCTTATATATTTTTGTACTAGACAGTGTGGTAGCAGGCTAATTTAACTGGCCTGTTGGAGCCAAACGAGTTGTTATGTATGCTAGTACAGCAAGCACCTGATATCCCAGACAGAGCTCTGCACCCAGAGATGAACAAGACAGCTGTACCGTTTGAAACAGTCAAATGCATGAGGCATAAAGTTTTATCGCTGTACCTTTTAGAGGTTACCTGGTGCATACAGATCTACACAGTGGTGTCATATCTCCTCCTGGGAGATGAAAGAAGGAAGAAATCAATGCTGAATCATCTTGTCTCACAGCTACAGCCCCCTGCACACTGAGCACAGGCACTGCCAGGACGTTGGCTGCCCTGTCATACTGTCAGCTCTCAGGCTGCACAGCCAGGCTGCAGTGTCACACAGTGGACTTACACAGCTGTGTTGTAATAGTTACCATAAACTACTGGCACCACAAAGACTCTACTGCTCATGAGGAAGAGCTCTGTCCCTGTGTGTGATCTACTGTTCATGAGGAAGAGCTCTGT